AAGTGACCAAGAATATTTACCTATGATTAAATCTGGATTATTCTAGGCATCTTACAGTGACATGTTATGGATACGCCCTTGACTCTGCTGTCGTCCACCGCGACATCTGTTGGCGTGAATACCACGTCCCTGCCTCTGCTGACCTAACTGCCTCAAAGATCCTACACTACTAGCAGCAATCTCTCCCTACTGGGGCTATCCCCCTTGGTACCACTGAGATCCACCAGCTGAATGTGGCTGATAAGACATAGATCATCCCTGATACTGAGGATACCTATTCTGATACTGAGGATCCTGAGAGTACTGTTGTTGTCCTGAGGTGTAGGGAGCGGTGTCGCCCTGGTAGTGGTAGGCACATCCTCGTCCAATCTGAGTATAACCACCAGAACCTGAAGCGTGTTAGGTAGGTGCAGGTGGTGAGAAGGAAGGCTGCTAGGGTCTTTGCTAACTCTGAGGGCATTGGGCAGCCCTATGACCCATATGTCCACAAGTAAAACATTCATTGCTACCTCTCATTCACTCCCCAAAATGCCGATTATTACACCTGCGGCATAAGGGAGCACCAGATCCACCTGTACCACCAAAATCTCTCTGTCTCTGGAACCTTAGACCTCCAGTGAATCTACCACCTCTCCTCTACATATTAGTACTCAATCCCCCTCTAGAAGAGCTGGAACTGCCACCACTCCTCTTAAAGTTCTGAGTCTTGCGGGGTCCCTGAAATGCTTGCCCTTTTCCTTTGTCATCTCGTCTCTGGCCCCCATTTTTTCCTTCATCATCTTCACTTTCACTAGGCACGTTCTCTGAGGCCTCAATCCTCAGTAGAATCTCATAAAACTCCTGGTAAGAGGCATAATGAGTCGATGTCACTATGGAATGCCATTTCTTCTTAGTACCCAAACTGAAACGGCGAAGCATCTCTACCTGATTAGCAGCAACCTCCGGATCATATCTCGACAGATTAGTAAACATCCTGTAATACTCATTAGCAAATATCTTTCCTTGCATGAGATGAGTAAACTCATGTTTCTTAAGATCGATATACGCAGGAGGAATGAACCTTTTCCAAAACCGCTCTTTAAACACCCTCCAGTCCGCAATCTCTTCTGGGGTCATCTGGTAAGACTCATGTCTCCACCAGGATGCAGGCTGTTCTCCCAAAAACTAGGTAGTCGTCTCGACCCACCTATCAGGAGAAAGATTCCCATGACTCTGCATCACCTGAAAGGTCTTCTCCACATGATTAAGCCATTTTTTTGCCCCCTCATGACCTTCATTTCCTATGAAGTGAGTCAACTTCAAATTATGAACTGTCTCAAGAGGTGTCCTCTGAGGAGTATGGAATGATGTCTGAATGGCAGAAACTATAGCTTCCCCTAATTGAGCAATATCAGGGAAACTAGATTCAGCTGGTTGACGGGGCTCTCTACGAGGCGGCATAGTTCTGACATAAGACATCACAAGGATTAGAACATTCAAGAATTCTACACGACTGCTAAACCTAGGCTCTGATACCAAACTGAAATACCCCGACCTAGATCAAGGCATGCTAGCCATCACGTGAGAGTGATGTAGCCATGTGCACAGTGCAGAAGCGATGATGATAAGAATTACACGAATAATTGAAAACAAAATTACTAGAGTGCACTACTAAACAGAAAGTGATAGGAGTTAGTTAAAACAGTAAACACTCCTAATCAGAGCATAAAGTCTAGGTGCAGTCCAGTAGGACAAGTACTAGTTATACAATACCAGGAATGTCCTACTATTAATTAAATAAGTCAGAACAGCCGACGTCTTCAAGCCACCAACAGCAAGCTTACTTAAAACCTGGAGGGGCGCAAAACAGAAAACGTGAGTGGGCAAAAACAATGTTTTACAAAACCATTTCATTTACCAACATAACTAAGCCCTCGCTGTAAAACATGTATAATTTCCCAGAATCAAGATATAAGCATATACATATATATATCTGAAATCATATCAAGTCAATTCATGCTTCACATAATCATATTCATATGTATGTCATGCCAAAATATAACAAAGTAAACAATCCAGGTAAGAATAATTTCATAGAAATATGATATGTTAGCCGAAACTCCTGTGGTAATTTGTACGACTGAATTCATAGCTCAAACTCAATCTAGCCGGAGTCACTACTATGACCTATACGGCAATATACTGCACATAAGTCGGAACCACTGAAAAGGGGTCTGTACGACAAGATTTGGTGAAATATAATTATGCTTAATTCTACTCTCTCATAATAGCCGGGTGATAATTCACTAGTCACCTACGAGTCGAAACCATAAATAAGGTTTGTACGACAAGACTGTGAACTTAAGTTGGATCCAATATGAGCATATAGTGCGGGAGGTGACGTAAATAAACAGACATGTACTTCATATCTCTGGCTAATTCATAATCACCCTAGGTGCAGTTTTATGAGCTTAACATTACTCAATCACATATCACATCATCGATGATTCACATAACCAAACATAACTTACCTGTGCCTCCACAGCACCACATTTATATATATATATATATATATATATGCAACCATGAAATGCATATTCAAAATATAAAAGCATTTGGCATATTATTTCAAAGCATACTTTCCTTAAAATGCAATTCTGGGAAATATATCAAGTATATAAATATATACTGAAAAAAAAGCCCACTCACTGATATGTCGACGGGTCATAACCCCTGAGTCACCCCTAGATACGCTCATCCTCCGGATAAGTCTCACCTATATGCGAATTAACTATAAAAACGTTATTTTAAAGCACATAGACAAAACTAGCTAATAACTTCTCATACATTGCTCAAAATGGGTATATGAATATATCATAGTGATCTACACAACCTCAGGATCATCCCCATATTTTTAGAAATAGTTTTGGACCTCCCACGCACCGCCATGCGCCGGCGGGTGCACGGCAAGACGCGCCACCACGCGCAAGGAACAGATTCCCTAACTGCCGTTAGGAATATTCCTCGAAATATTCCGTTAAAACCCAACGAAAATCGTCTAAAATTATTTAATGTCATAAGAATATTCCGTCAGACTTGACGGAATATTCTTCCATCTCCTACCTCCAGCTCCGGCAACCGTCGCCGGCGCCGGAAACTGGGCAATTTTTCAAACTCCTTAATCTCGCTCATTTCTTCACCATTTTTCATGCAATTTATACCAAAATGAAGCTAGGGACATCTACAATCATGTTATACCATTTTAAAGCTCTAAAGGTCACGAGATCTCACTGGAGAACTCCAAGAAAAACCGGCCAAACTTCGTCCACACGATCCCGACGTCTAAAACCTTCAAACGAAGCACTCCGAGCTTCCTTGGGACTTCACTAAGCTTCCTACAAGCTTGAAATTTCCAAAAACACGGAGATTTAACGTTTGCATGAACAGTACCCCAAATCGGGGTTATGGTTTCAACATGAAAACGAAGTTGTCCTTACCTAAAAATGGTCTAGATGTGTTCCTGAGCTTGCAAGGAACACGATGGTACCTTCAACATCCTCGATCCGTCACGATTCAACGAGTTTTGGTGTTGTCCGTACACAATGCCGAGAGGGAGAAAGAGGGTGAAACCGAGAGAAATGAGAGAGAGAGCACGGGAGAGTGAGAGGGAGAAAGGTATGGATGTGTGTGGTCCAAAATGCACACCAATCACAATTCTTTAATCTTTTAGTTCTAATTGGGTCCAATTAGTTAGGAATAGAACCAATTGACCCAATTTCTTAATCCAAAACACAAACACACATCCAACGCTCAAGGGTAAATCCGTCTTTTCACAACCACAATAATTAATCCTCGGGACGGGCTGTGACAGTATTTCAATTATTATTTGTATTAGTAATTGTTGTATGATTGAATTATGAATTTGTGTTTAAGAATGAGGTAAGTTACCAAGTTGTGTGATTTTTTATTATTTATCGAAATTAAAGAAATGTTCATAAAAAACAATTAGAATAATTTACCTAAACTTTATTTTTTTAAAAGCTACCGGAAAAAAAAAATTAGAATAATTATTTAATAATCTCAACTAAAATTTTAAGTCATACCATTAGAGTGGAAAAGCAGTTTTTAGGTTATGACCTAAAAAATTTTGGATTAAATTTTTAAATTTTATCCCCAACCATTGGAGTTGGTCTAAGAGGAGAAAAATTGTTTGAATCCGAGATACATTGGGTTGAAAAGAACGACTGTAATTAACAATTCATCACTTACAAACGGTTTTCTTTTGTCAATTTTGCCATCTTCCTGGGAATGAGAGTGAAATTAAATATATAAACCAAATACTTAAGGGAAGGAGAATCTTCCATTCACCTTCTAATTCTCACCGATCTTACGTTGTACATAATAATAACCTCAAAATCTCAGCCACCACAAAAAGTTGCCCCATTAAATAAAAATGTGAATTGTTAATTTAGTTCCTGAATTATCACCTGAGTGAAAATTAGATCTTTAAACTATTTTTTTTAGAATAATCAATCATTGAATTATAAAACTTTGCCAATTACATCCATAATATTATATATTCGAAGCTACCGTATTCAATTTTCCGTCAATTTAAGTCACGTTACTTGCATGTGATACAAAGTAAAGCATTGGTAATTTTACATGAAGAAATAGTGTATGGAGTTAACTTTGGAGGGTAAATTAGACATTAGGTTCGCAACCTATATGAAATGTTGAGGGCTTACAGGCGAGAAAAGAACGGTATTACACTCTAAAGTATGTTAATTAATTTTATAAGATGTTGAGCTACATTTCATATTGTTAATTAATTTTATAATAAAATTCAAAATCTTTTTATGGTATCGGAATCGGATTGTCCCACACAGGACTAATTTTGTTTGTGTATATGTAAAAGGGCTAGTAAGCCCAATTTCCGTAAGATGCATTCCCATATAGTGAGAAAAGACAACGAGCAAAAAGGTTGGGAAAATATATCTACTATCCAATACCATTTGCCACGTGGTAGAAACCCATTTGCCGCATCCAAATTTCTTGGGCCATCATTGGCGGTTGATTGCGTCCATAAGTAACGGAGGAGAGAACTCAGAAGTTTGAGGATTGGAGAAACTCCTTCGATGGCAGGGATTGGCTGTTGCTGTACAACTCTGTCGTCCACAAGGTAACCTACTCCCCGTCTTTGTTTTTATGTTGGAAGGACTGCATCTTTACTAGGACAAGTTCCTATTCTGAATACTCTCAGGTTCTCGATGGTGAGTTTTCTTGTTTGGTTGCTGAGAAATTGTAGAAAACTAAGATTATAGAACCTTCTGTTCTATTGAAGCATTATGAGATGAAGAATACATTCAACTACTCATCTACATAGATGTGTTTTCTGGTAGTTTAGCTTGTTTTCAGACGAGGTCTAAAAGCGTTTTCAGATAATCAAAAACATTTATGATGGTGTTTAGAAGTTAAAAGTGATTACGGAATTCTGGAGAATCACCTAGTTCCAAGTGTTTTTTAGAGAAGGTTGCACCGAGGCCAACAACTGCCCGACCGTGTAGTGGTTCAGTTTGGATAATATCGCACGATTAGCACCTAGTTCCAAGTGTTTTTTAGAGAAGCGCGTGTGGAAGAATAGATTTCCCATCGGAAACTTCACATGGTAAATTACAAATTACATTGTATGGTTCATTTTTAGTTGCACCGAGACCAACAGCTGCCCAACCGTGTAGTGGTTCAGTTTGGATAATATCGCATGATTAGCAGTTGGCCGCTAGCCCGACTACTAAGTGCTTTTTGAGAAGCACTTTTGAAATTTTTCTAGAAACTTAGCACTTGTTTAGGTTCACATTCTCATATACAGTACAAAATTTATCTTCATTTTGTTACATTTTGTTTCTTTTTAGATCATTTTGAACTCATGATAATATATGTCAGTGAATGTAGTGAAATTGTTCACATACATGAATATGAAAGTAAGGCGTACGAATTTTTTTGACAGCAATCTCCACACATCTTGGTTGAAATTTGAGACTCGTACTCATGGTGAAGGAACCATCTTAGGGCAACCAACCCGTCCTCGTCGGAATTTCTCAATCAGAGCAGAAGTGAATTTTGTAAGTGCAGAAGAAGCAAAAGAACTTATTGCAGTCGAGGGATATACTGTCATTGATGTCCGGGACAAATCTCAGTACGAACGAGCTCATATCAAATCTTGCCATCATGTGCCTCTCTTCATTGAAAACCAAGACAATGATTTTGGTAAGCAAGTCTTTCTTTGACAACTCATTCTGACTGACGTGGCATCATATCACCGTAAAGTAAGGATAATCGGAACTGCTCATTCTCTTTATCATCATCTAAAGATCATCTCTAGAAAAAGAAAAAGAAAAACGGAATTTTGATTTTTTTTTATGAATTATGGGCAGGAACAATCATAAAGAGGACTCTCCACAACAATTTTTCTGGTCTTTTCTATGGGTTGCCTTTTACCAAACCGAACCCTGAATTTGTAGAGTCAGTAAAAAACCGGTTCTCACCTGAAAGTAAACTGTTACTGGTGTGTCAGGAAGGATTGAGGTTGGTTTTTTACCTAGTAATGCTAAGGGATTTCGATAACCAAAAGCGCTTCTGGCGGTGTTTTGTAAACCATTTGACAGTGTTCTTTTGTTTGCTTTTAATTTGAAGGTCTACTGCTGCTGCTGATAAGTTGGAGCAAGCGGGTTTCGAAAACATAGCGTGTATAACTTCGGGTCTTCAAAGCATAAAACAAGGTTAGGATTCTAGCTCCAACGTCTTTGCTTTCTCCGGGATTATCTGCTGTTTAAGATTGATCAATGACATTGCTACTCTTTACTACACCAGGAGCATTTGATTCCGTTGGTTCGACGGAGTTGCAAAATGCCGGCAAAGCCGGATTAGTCACTATTCAGGGAAAGATCTCGGCTGTACTTGGAACTGTGCTAATCTGTACGTCCTTTTGTATACTCTTAAAAGCACCTCCTGTTGCCATGGTCCATGAGATATCATATCTTCTTTTTTGATCAAATGCCAGGTGCATATTTGTTCATCACCTTCTTCCCCGATCAAGCAGAGAAGCTACTCGCAATTTTCACGACCACCTAGCCCGAAAACGATGCTGACATTTACAAGAAAGTTTGGCAGATCTCTCCAACCCCAAGTGATTCGAGTAAGGAGAGATTTCTAGGCATCTGCAACATCATAACATATCAAGGAAAAGAGGAAGAAAAGCCAGCTTGTATGAAATGGATGTATAAACTGTACATTTGTCTCTGTAAATTGTACTACCCCAACATTGTAGCGCGTTTTTGCAACAGCAAACCTTGGCTTAAAAATTCATTTCAAAGGGAACTTCAATGGAAATCCACCGGAGAAAACGATTCATTCAAACTCCGGTCCATCGACAGAAAAAAAAAAACTCCGGTCCATCTAGTCAAACAACGAAATCTAACCGGACATAGTTTATGTCAAAACAGTAATGCACAAACAACATTGAACAAGTTTTTGCTACCTGATTCAGGTTCCAAACCAGTAGATCATGAGGGCAATCTACAACAATACAAGATGACGTTCCAACTATAAAAAAAATTAATATAAAGAGCTAAATCGCTATAGAATTATAATCTAAAAACAAAACCTCGCGATAAAGTAAAGAAACTCGAAGGTTAGAGTCGAGATCCAACATTCTAGACCCACAAAAGAGAGAATGGAAAATTCACAAGGCTGTGAACCTAGGTTAACAAAATATTACAGTAAGATTTTTTTTTTTACCCAAAAAAAATATTACAATGAGATTAGCAAATGTTTTTCTGATTCCATCTGTGCACCCTATCAATGCAACAATTATGCAGGGTACCATTCCAGAGTACCTGGGGTTGATCGGCAGCTGCCAACGGCACGACGAGCATGATAGGATTGAAGAATAAAACAGCAAGCTTCTTTCTGCACCGCTCTTGTTCTACGGCAGATGATGCCAAAAAATCATTCTCCTTGTAGGCAATAGAGCTGACGGATGTTTCCAGAAGCTGTCACATGGATTAAATTAGATAAACAGGGATCAAATCGATAAGCTTTTAAATGACATCCTACTCATCTTCTATAAAAGCTCATGAAATTACATGTAATGGTATGTCTTTGGCACAATTTCAACTCAATAATATGCAGTGATGGTTCACATAAAGCCACATAAAAGAGGTTATTAACAACAGCCGTTTGTCGCCTGAAAATGCTGACAGAAAACAGTTCTTGATTGATCAAAATATAGGATATGCTGATTAACTTTGTTTTGCAAAGTGCTGATCATGTTCCAAAGTACAATATTCTAGCACGTGTCAACGTGAGGAAACAATTGTAATAATGAGCATTACCATACAACCAGTCTTTAAAGTATACGTGGAGAGCAGTTGATAATTCCCGCTTTCTATTTTCTTCAAGAGGTGCTTCCTTCAATAATTGCTTTACCTCCCCGAGATTGTTCTGCTGCAGAAAAAGTTGAGAATAATTAAAAGATAAATAACACTTGACCACGTCAATCAAACATCAAGGAATTCTTAGTAAAACTGTAAGAAAATATCTACTAACTTAACCCAAATATAAACATAAAAAATCTACACTAATATTAAGCCGGAGTAAACATACGTTTCTATGCTGGGAAGCCATATAAGCATCTGGTAATGGAAATGGGTTGTCTTTAGTGGAGCCCTGTGATTCACCTCCGTACCAGTTTGGAATCTGAATATAAAAGAAACATAAAGGACATAACTAGATAATTCAGAAAGAAAATGAGTAACTGTACAACCATGGCCATCTCAACCACCCTCCCCCAACCAAATGAAGAAACATACTCATAAAATACAACTGTTATGCCCCAAAAGTGCATGACTTTGTCCGAAGACTTTGCTGGTAGAGCCTTTCAGAGGCTTTTCTCTATTTAACTTCCGATAAAATTACTTCAGAAAATTAAGGAAAACTCTTTAATGCGCTATCCAAATCTAAATTAACAATCTGTAGTAAAAATTATAATACCAAGAAATTTGTGAACTGGTCAGGGTCTAAGTGTGCAGCAGACTCGGCCTGAGCCTCGGAGACACCTGCTGGATGAGATAATGAATCATGTGGGTCAACCGCTCCAAGTGGCAGGGGCTCATCCCATCTGTTGATAGTAGCGTCAACCCCAACTTCCTTCATGTGCTCCTCCAACTGACTGTAAAATGTATTGTATGGTGCCACCTGATAAAAGTCGGGAGGTGAAAACAAAGATCTGAACATGCTAAATCTTCATTAGAACTCGAAGAATGAATCACATAAAACTATGATCATAACAAATATTTATTATGATCAAAGAATTTAATGCTACATTTCAGTAAAAACAATTTAATTTTGTTAAAGTCAATTCAATTTGACGCCAAATGTTCAACATAACAAAACCATGCATACAAACCACTATTCAGAAATAAACCACAGCAAATAAATGCGTCAAGACTGTCAGCAAACATCAGTTTGAAAGGATGTGTGCATGTGTGTTGCAAAAACATGTTGACTATAAGTTGGTAAGTTTTGCATGACATTTCTTTCTTGTTTTACTCAGCAATTTAAAGAGTACAGGAAAACCTCTCAAATCTTAAAACAGATGTCAAAAACAACTATTACATCTGGGGACATGCTATCAAATGTAGAATGGAAAGAAAGTTCGTTTCTGACGATACGAATCACAATAGAAGTAGAAGAGTGGCCAATAACATGCCAGTGGAACATATTATTGTTTTAAGTTCAATGCATATATGAGATAACAGAAAGAAAGTCATGGAGGTTTACAAAAAACCAAACAGGTTGAACCAATATACCAGCAAACCCACATTAAGATTAGTTGTAACAAAAAGAAATCGACGTTAAGATATATTGCGGTAGATTATATTGTGAAAATTAATCTTCCCTAGTACTGGCTAGAAACAAAATGAAATCAACTCTTAGGGGCAAGACCTGCAGCTTATGGTTATCACCAACAATAAGTGGTCGCTGGTTGACCCCAAGGAAAAACATGCATTCGCGGCAGTTAGCAATGCAGATTCGATTTGCTGCTGTAATCACATGAACTCGCTCACAGTGTTCGATTCTCACAGCCTGCAAGAGACATCAGATCATCTAAGCTATAAGATTCAACTTAACCAGGTGACACAACGACCCACGTTCATTGCATATAAAACAGTAATTACCGGGTGGGCCACGCCACATGACAGTAATAAATCATTATACAGATAGGTAAGGATCAAAACATGATTTTCCAGCATCATAAAGCTCAAGACATGTTAAAATTAAGACTGGCCATTTAAATAGAAGTGCATAGTTGGCCAGATGTATTTACGGGGAGTCTTTTGTTTTCAGATAATATTATAAAGCAATCACCAGACTATCAAAGCAAATAATGATATATAGTATTTACAGAATAAGGCTTTCCAGTAGAAAGCAAATATAAACATACATTGAAACAGAGAATGTCTGAATTTTCTAAAGACCGGTTTAGTGTAATATACAGACATTGGACTACTTCCAATGTTCACTAAAGGGTAAAACGTCAGGCCTAACAATTAGATGTAACAAAAGTTATTAAATTTGATTAACTAAACCATTATGCAAGAACTGTAACTCAAAAACAAGTTGTGCAAAAACTTCCAACTAAAATTGAATGAACTTACAACAAGATATCAACTTTGCATAACCACCACATAAGAAGCATATGAGGTAACTCACAGAAGCACCAGTCAACTTATGATTTCACAAACATAGATAACAAGAAATCATCCGTAATTGTTCGATTGTGATCCAACCCAGTAATTTACACAATCATTCTATTATACAAGCTACCAGACAAACAAAATTCAAAAGCCTTCTTTTTCATTGTGTTATATACTTGCATGGTAATTTCATTGACTTTAAAAAGTCGACTGCAAACGAACTTTGTATTCATAATAGGAAAGGGTAAATGAGTGCCAAAAGAAAGTGACTGGGCGGGCAAAGCTTAGTGGGAATGAAATGCAACGTGCCTACTTGCAAAGTCACTCTGAAGATATCAGTTATTAGCATTATTGCAAAACATCAAGTAACCAAACTCAACCAACTTATCTAATACTAAATTTTCAGAGATGAGGGATAAACAAATCCAGAGACCTTTACAGACCACAAGCTAATCATTCTGATAGTATGTTTAAAATTACTAGAGCGAGAAAACTATTTCCAATTCAACTATAAACTTCAGTACCACAGAAATAACCTTTTTTCGATATCCAACTATATATTAGGGAATAAGTACAACCAAAGTACACATATCACTCAACAGTCAATAAGCCAAAGCATATATACAAATGCCTTTCCTATTACCTTTCCAACAGCTCCAAGAACAATTGTAGCATCAGAGCATCCATAAACTGTGGCATATCTCAGAGGTGCTAATATGTAGATAACTGAATCGTGGCAATTTAAAACCTGAAATTGCAAACGAGTTACTACCAAACCAATATACCTCTTAGAAGGAACAATCCAATTTTAGTTCACTGCTTTTACGCACAAAGCATGTAAAGAAACATGTTGAGAAAAGATAACAAGAAAGCTGACAATCTTGACAAGTTTCATTAACCAAGTGCATTATTAGTTCATTGGTCAATGATCTTTATAACTAAGATTAGGATCAAACTGAATGAGCAGCTACCTCCCTTCCTTGTGCATAATAGCAAGACCCAACAGACTCGAAACTTAAATAAGTAAATAATAATTAAAAGTGAAAAAATGCATTTATGAAATAATTTAAAATAAGTTAGCCAATTTGGAAACCAAAATATAGCCAAAACCTTCAATCCATCACAAACACAACACAACAGGTGCATTCTCACAGCCCCAAGAGCAAGTCCCCAATGTGGCATGCAATCACTCACATCTTCATAATCATTTCATGTCTATAACATGTAGCTATTAAGTTATTAGAACCCCAATAGAAATAATGACTTGATTCTTGTGCCTTATTAAGAATTGAGTTCTCTTCATTTTATTCTTTCTGATTCTAGATCCTGAACTTCTAGAAGTGTTGAATTTTGAAACATCCCGTAAATGTAGGACACAGAGGAAAAAAGAATGGATATTACATTTTTATAAACTAGTTACAAGAAAACATAAAAATGTCTTATGATTCATGAACAAACCTTTACAGAAGAACCTTTAAGATCAGATGACTGCTTTACAAGTGATGACTTAGAGATCCCCTCAATAAAACTTGGGCCCCTGACACTAGATGAGCCCTTGTTTGAACTCGTGCAGGCATCAGCCATGGGAACATCTTGGTCTGAGGAACTGGGAGGCCCATTTTCTTTTGGAGAAATCCTTTCTGAAATATGTTC